TCGGGCCAGCGGCTATTGGCCATTCTCTACTGGGAGGCTCTCTGGGGCAGGGCGGGGCAGAGTCAGTTCCCTTCAGATTTCCTGAGTCTGGGGCATGCCAAACACGACCTCCCGGAGGAGAGGCACTTGGGCTCACAGGGCTCAAGCCCACACTCAGCTGAAGACCAAGCCGCGTCCTCAGGACCCTGTTCAGGAGCTGACAGGGTGGGGGGCCGGGTAGGGCAGTGGTTTGGTCACGGCTCTGGTCACTGCTCGACGAGCGTGCCTGTCACCGCAGGGAGCAGAGGGTCCTCCAACAGGCCCGGGCAGGGCAGCCACGTGAGGACATTCCCTGCTTCTCCAGCTCCTCCCCAGCCAGGAGTGGGGTATGACAAGGCCCCCACGAATGAGTCTTCCTGCTTAAACAGCACGGGGTGGGGCAGGGTGGCTGCAGGGTGCACACCTGCATGCCGGGGGTCCCAGGGAGGAGGTGGTCTTCCAGAGCAGCCAGGGCCCTGGGATGAGTGGTGGCCCTTTGCCTTGCCGGCATGAGTGCAGGGCCCCTGCTCAGAGCCTCTCCTGCACACTCTTCCTTCTTTCTAGCCTGTCTCAGGCCCAGGAGGAAAAGCACTGCCCTTCCCTCCCAGTACCAAGGTCCTCATGTCAGGATCCACGGGTCCACAGAGGTCGCCTCTAATGACGGGCTGGGATCTTAAGGCGGGACACAGAGCCAGGCTCTAGCAGTTCCAAGTCCTGCAGGGCTTCGAGAAGCTGCTCACGGGCGGCTCCAATGAAAGAATTCTCCAGGAAGGCAGGCAGGCCCCCCACGCCATCCCGCAGAGTGTACAAGGGCACCCGCACCAGGCCCAGCACCTGCGAGAGAAAGGAGACGCTCTGGCCAGGGAGCCCTCTGCAGAGGAGGCCTCGCCCTAGATGCCCCAGGCCCAACCAACGCTCCCCACGTCTCCCTTAACTGAGTGGCTCCTGCCCAGAACCGCAAGGTCTACACCACACAGCAGCAAGGCTCAATGTAAAGCATCTGATCAGCTGCATGTGGGACCTTCTGAAAAATACAAAATCCAAGGTCACCCCGGCCCCGCTCCAGCAGTTCTGGAAACTGCCGGTTTAGTAAGACCCCCGTCCCTCACACAGGGACGCTGGGCACCTTGGAAGGCTGTCACTGCTGTCGCCCCATCAGCAGGAGCTGCAGAAAGCTGCAGAAACGGGCCAAACCCTGGCAGGGAGACCGGGTGGCTCGGTCCTCCAGATGAGAGGGGACCGCGACCCCGACGACACAGCGACAGGGGCGGGGGCGAGGTCAGCGGGTGGGTCCGGGCCACAGTCCGGCAGGGCTCCCGCGCCCACCTCCAGGCCGTGGTCCTTGGCCTGCGTGGTGCCGGCCTCCACGGCCAGCAGCTGCTCCAGGGTCAGGCGTTTGGCGTAGAAGTGGGCCACGACGCGCTGCGCGGGCCCCGCGTGCGAGCTGCGGTAGTCGGCGCGGTCCACGCGGAAGGCGGC